TCCTCCTCGATGCTTCGCTTATTTTCTTCATGGCGCTCTCCGTACTATCCTACATCCGCTTCTACAAGGAGCGTCACAATGCTTTCGGGCGGAAATGGTGGAAGTGGCTCCTTCTGACTGGTATCAGTCTGAGCTGCGTTATCTCCATCAAGTACGTTGGTGTCTTCACCTTCTTCTCCATTGGTGTACCGGTCATGATTGACCTCTGGGACTTGATGGACGTCAACCGACGACAGGGTGCCTTGACTTTGGCCGAATTTGGCAAGCACTTTGCTGCTCGCGCTGTGGGCTTGGTCATCGTCCCGTTCTTCCTTTATCTTTTCTGGTTCCAGGTCCACTTCTCCATCCTCACACGATCCGGCCCTGGTGACGACTTCATGACCCCAGAGTTCCAGGAGACTCTGAGCGACAATGTCATGAGCCTTCAATCCGTCGGTATCAACTACTATGATTCCATCACCATCCGTCACAAGGAGACCAAAGTTTACCTTCACAGCCATCCTGACCGCTACCCGCTGCGTTACGACGATGGACGTGTTTCTTCTCAGGGACAGCAGGTTACTGGATACCCCCACAACGACACCAACAACCACTGGCAGGTCCTTCCTTCGAAGCCCCTGGACAGTGAGATCGGTCAACGCGTCAAGGTCGGCGATGTCATTCGTCTTCGCCATTTGATCACGGACACCGTTCTTCTCACACACGACGTTGCTTCTCCTTACTACCCTACCAACCAGGAATTCACTACTGTAAGCAAGGACGAAGCAACCGGTGCACGCTACAACGACACTCTCTTTGAGCTCAAGGTCGACAAGGGCAAGGGCGATTTCAAGACCATGTCTACTCACTTCAAGCTTGTTCACGTGCCAACCAAGGTCGCCATGTGGACCCATACCAAGCCTCTGCCAGATTGGGCCTACAAGCAGGCTGAAATCAACGGTAACAAGGCAGTCCAGCAGTCCAGCAATGTCTGGTATGTCGATGACATTCCTTCGCTTCCTGTTGAAGATGAGCGCAACAAGAAGGAACCGAAGCAGGTCAAGCACTTGGGCTTCCTCAGGAAGTGGGTTGAGCTGCAGCGTGCCATGTTCTACCACAACAATGCCTTGACCAGCTCGCATCCTTATGCATCCCAGCCTATCTCCTGGCCTTTCCTCCTTCGCGGTGTGTCTTTCTGGACTCACAACGACACTCGCCAGCAGATCTACTTCCTGGGTAACCCCATTGGATGGTGGCTCGCTTCCTCGCTTCTTGCTGTGTTTGCCGGTATCATTGGTGCCGACCAGCTGGCTCTCCGCCGTGGCATGGATGCCCTCGATGAGCGTAAGTTACTTCTCTCGTACACGAAACCCAGGTTATTCGCTTTTGTATTGGCATTTGTATTTGAAGGGGAGGTTCTAACATTCATGTCTGCAGGCACTCGCTCCCGTCTCTACAACTCCACTGGATTCTTCTTCCTCACCTGGGCTGCCCATTACATCCCCTTCTACATCATGGGTCGTCAGCTCTTCTTGCATCACTACCTTCCTGCGCATCTTGCGTCTTGTCTAGTCACTGGTGCTCTGGTAGAATTCGTGTTCTGCATTGAACCCCAAGACCCCGAGATGCCAGCCTCCGCCAAGGGTCACCGCCGCACTCACTCGAAGCCTGTTCGCGAGCGTGTTGCCTCTTCTAGCCTGATGGGCAGCTGGATCGCTATGGGTGTCATCCTCGCCGCCGCCTTCTGGTGCTTCCTCTTCTTCGCACCGCTCACGTACGGTAGCCCCGGCCTTACTGTTCCCCAAGTCCAGTCGAGGAAGTGGCTCGGATACGACCTCCACTTTGCCAAATAGATGGAGCATGAGTGAAGGATTCGCTTCGAATTAGGGTTGGGGTGTCTTCTATTGGATTAACTAGGGTAAAATGCACAGCGCGGAGTGCTGATTGTGTGGATCAAGGTTTTCTATATATTTTAGTGTATTCTCTTTTGGCGAGGCCGAATCGAGATTACGCCTTTGAGCACGCAAATATGCTCCTATGTAATAGACATAAATACGGTGGTGAACAGTTCATGGTTCGGCCATCAATTTATAAGTTCACAGAACCATAACATCACCTTTGCAGTGGATGTCTCATACTCTTGAAGAGCCTAGGCCAAAGATGGTAGCATGCAACTAGAGATTCATAGTTGTGCTCATGCGAGCCAGTGGAACATAATATGATATCTACATCGTAGCGATTGGCTATGCGGTTCCCATAATCTAAATGCCTCCATGCAGCTTCCAGACGCAATCCATGCCCATCTCCACAGTGCGTGTGCCAAAGCAACAGCTATCGCCCAATTCACCCTCATCCCATTCATCTTTACGCGGCGTCTTAACTTTCCGCTGCAAAAGCCAGTCATCGTAACTCTCATCGTCATGCCGTTCAAACTCTACTTTCTCCGTGATACCAACTCCACTATCCTCTCGTTGCTCAAAACTCAAACTCGCCTCGAAAACGCTCAACATCCATACCGGGACCCACGATATCTGAGAGATCCCTACGGCCCATCTGGCCAAACACTCTCCTTAAGGTATCGTACAAGTTTGTGCTTTGGTTCTGGTGGATCATGTTGTCTAGTTGGCTATCTGAGACGCCTTCGCCAACGACTTCCCTAGCTTTCTCCTTGCCTTCGCGCTCTACGACCTTGTGCATGGCTAGCGCGCCGAGCAAGTGTTGTGCAGCTTCTGTGTAGCAGCCGATGTTGATACACGACACGCCGAGGTTGTAGCGTGCGCGGACAAAGTTTGGTCGGAGAGCGAGGGCACGCGAGTAGGCATCGATGGCTTCTTCGCTGCGGCCGGAGTTTGCGAGGGTGGCGCCGAGACGGTTCCAGAGGAGGTGGACTTGTGATGAGGAGTTCGAGACGCCGGATTCGGTGGATGCAAGGGCGGCGCCGAAACAGTCGACGGCTTTGTCGTATTCTTCTACGCCGTAAAAAAGTACGCCTAGGCCTACTTGCACGTCGGGATCCATTTGCTCGCCGGTTGGTGAGAGTTGTGCGGCTTGGATGAAGAGGTTGGTGACTTTCTCGTGGAGTACGTGGCGGTCTGTGAAGCCCATCTCGGCGTCTGAAGAGAGTGGCTCTTTGATCAGTGATGGGTACTTGGTGGCCAGCCAGCGTTCCAGTGTCCGGTATGCGGTGCTCTCGTAGCCTTCGTTGGTATATGATACAGCCAGACCCATCAGCGCCTCCAGATTCGAAGGATCCTGCTTCAACGCATGTTCCAACGCTCTTATAGCCGGTGTTTCCTTCTCGTTCTGTGCTTGTGACTCTCCCAACCTTACCCAGGCTGCAATGTGATTCGGGTCTTTCTGAACAGCTGCCTCGAACGCCAAAGCCGCAAGCGAGAGGTTTCCACCATCTTCCATTATCTTGACACCTTCTTCAAAGGGATTCGTGACGTTCTTGAAGAGGTTCTCTTGCTCGAATAGGTAGTCGCCCATGGCCGGATCGCGGACCGAGTGTGTGTTGAGCCCGTCGAAGCCTTCCCATTGATCCATGTCGCCCATGTGTCCTTCGACGAAGTTCTCCTCGTTGGCAAGTTGCCTAGCGTATTCAGTCTCAGCTTGGATGCCCTTCCAAATGGACTCGAAATCGTCGAAATCAACGGCATCTTTCTCTACTGACCTGTCCATTTCGTTCAGCTCTGCCTCCATGGCCTTGTTCGCCTCGGCGTCTAGAGCGCTCAGGTCCTGCTGGTCTGTCTGTTCGAGTTGCGCGAACTGGGCCTCCCAATCCTGATCGTCGAGTTCTACCATGCGCTCCTTGCCTTTGCCAGAGTTCTGCATAGGCTGCTGGAAGTTTTGTGGTGCGTATGGCTGCTGCATGCCCATACCGCCCATTCCCATTCCCATGCCGCCCATGCCCATGCCCATGCCCATTCCGTACATGGGCCGCTGGTATCCCGTCATCGAAGGCTGAGAAGCGGTAGTCGGGCTCGCTGTCCGCGCGTTCGGGTTCATCTGCTGGAACTTTGCGAATTCGGCAGGGTTAAATCCGGCTGGTCTTTCTTGCATGGCTGGCCCTCCCATCTGTGGCGCCTGCATGCCTGGATCGAACTCTGCTGCCCACGCTGGTGATCCGCTGTGCTGTGTCCGTTCCAACTCGCGTCGCATTTGCTCCATGGCGAATGGAGATGCGGGACCGGGCCCTTGGGGGAGTTGTACATTCTGGTTCATGAACTCGTTCATCATCTATGGATCGCAGGGTTAGCCATGATTCCCACTTGCTCGCCTTCGTACTCTTGTTCTCAACTTACGCCATCCGACGGGCCGCCCATCTGCTGGCTTCGCATGCCCTCCTGCATTCCTCCGGGCCCCCGCCCGACCAGGCGGTCTCTCTGTAGCGACTTGTCATCCTGCACATGTTTGGTGAACTGGCTGAGCGGGTTGGCGCCCGTCGAGCACTCTGCGCCGCCGAGAAAAGACATGGCGAAAAGTAAAAGATTAGATAAGTGTGAAGTAGCGGGTATGACGCGGTCGACAGAGAGGAGGTGTATGTACAAGTCGGGCGGCGAGCGGGTGCCAGAGGCGCGTCGGCCGGTCTAATTGATCAGCATGTGGAGAAGCTACGCGGGGCGGCCGAGGTCGCAAATAACCGCCACACAGAGCGAGTGAATCCGAGCTTGTCCAGTAGAGCTCGGCGGCAGCACATCAGTGAACTTTAACAGAATGCACGATGATACTGAAAATTATTGTGCATTGCAAGAGTTCATTAGATCGATTTGCTTTTCTAGACCTGGACCCTATACCATGTACAAAAGAAGAGGGGAATATAACAACGCCGGACGCTCTTCCACTATGATACACAAGACCCATCTATCAACACAGCATGCAACCAACAGGACACACGTCCCAGTCATGCAGTCGTACAGATACGTCGACCATTTCCTCCATACATCATTCGTTGTAGAAGCGTGGGGCGGCCGTCCCGTTGCATGTAATCACTGTCCCTGGCCTCCTTTCATCATCATCGCTTAATCCTCCTGGGTGGAATCCGAGCGCTTGTTGTCGCGCTGGTTTAGGGTGCCAGACTTGCTGAAGTCGACGCGGAGTTGCCTGCCGTAGATGGTCTTCTCCTTCAGGACTTCCCTGGCCTTGGTGGCGCTAGCGACATCGATGAAGTCTGCGTGAGCAAAGCCTCTGGGCTGACCAGTCCTCCTGTCAATGGCGACACGGACATCCATGACGTTGCGAATATCACGGAAGAGGTCGTTGAGGTCCTTGTCGGACATCTCGAACGACATGTTGCCGATGAAGAGGGTCTTGGACGGAGGGTTTTGCTCGAAGTTGCCAGTGGCACCGCTGCGGGTCCTGGAGTTGGGCTTAGGCGCGTGGAATTGGACAACGAGGTTGCGGCCTTCGAAGACCTGCATGTCGAGGTTGTCAATGGCAGCTTGGGCGTCCGCGACATTCTTAAATTCGACGTATCCGAAACTGCACGAGGGTTAGTGTTTGCTTTCCGAGACTGGGCCATCTAACATACCCTCTGCTCAAACCCCGGTTGTCGTAGACAATCTTGGTGCTCTCAAGCTCACCGAACTTGGAGAAGACACGCTTCAGCTGCTCTGCGGAAACCTCGTAGTATAGGTTGCCGATGTACAGCATGTTGTTCGGCGTGGTGTTCCTTGGGGCCCTGGGCTTTGATGACCTCTGGGCATTGTCTGCGGTCTCGGCGGCAGCCTCCAATGCATCCTCGCCAACAGTGGCAGAGGCGTCAGTAGGGTCGGCCTGCACCTGCTGCTGCGCCGGCGTCAGGTTCTCTTCGACAGGTGCCTCAGCCGCTGTTTGCGCAAAGTTCTCGTCTCCCTTGGTGGCCTCATCGCTAGCAAATCGTCGCTGGAAGGACGAGATTGACCATTGCTGTTGCCTCAGACGGAAAGCCGAGGGGGTTATGGTGTTGATGGATCGCGGCTTCGCAAGGAACGCCTTGGAAGGCGACGCGGTGATGGCGCGAACGGCAGTGCGGCGGAGGAGAAACCTGCATTGCCATATCAGTATCACGATTCCAATTGCAGACGAGGCGATACTTACATTTTGGCGATATGGGTGAAGTTGGCAAATGTGGATTCGTTGCTAAAAGTCGGAATACCGTAAATTTTTGGGCATGGATCATTGATCCGCGCTAAGCTCCTAGCACGTGAGCGGCGTTCTCAAGCCCTGGAGGCTCTCGACATGTATTGGACTTCTTGGTGACGTATTGCACATTGTGGACAGCAATAATGCAACTATCTGCCGACTTCTCTCCCGCATGATACAGGTCGTTGCATTCAATGTCGGACATCCTTCGCCAAGAAGTGAATCCTAAGACAGGTTGATTGGTGACTTTGTGGGGTATTCATGAGGGGCACTCCTGTGCCCTGGGAGGGAATGATCCCGACTATTAGCCCACTTCAGTTCATGAGAATATCTTGATAAACGGATTGGAACATCAGAGTGCATATAGTGCGCCTCACATGCAAGCGAATGTTGACGGTGGCCCGAATGACTCTCGGAAAGGATCCCTTGACCCTGCCGATAACATCACAAGCCGAGGATGGAGGGGCTAGCCTGGTAACTTGCCCGAATGAAACGTGATTGCTTGTAGCCTCGAAGTCTTGCTCGCTGTGGTTACGTACTCCTGCTGGAAGGGTATCCAGGATAAGTATGCCATGGAGTCATCGAATCCATAATTCACAAAATGGCACGGGGTCAGGCGACAGGCCGGCCGCCTCCGAGGCGCGTTCCTGGTGAGGCTCGTCTTAAAGTTTGTGTTCGCTCTAGCAACCACAACTACCATCTCTCCATAGCACCATGCTGAAAGGTAGTGCAATCCAATTCCTCCATACAAATACACGCGGAGACTGACCTGAGGATAGGAGCCTTTTCTGCAGATGCGGACGCGTCGCCCGACTTTGGCCCTGCCCACGACGACCAGATACCCTCGTCGGAAGAGGAAGAGCTGAGCCATGACTTCTCCGAAACTGAAGCCGGCGGTAGCGGGCGCACACGACTAGACAACGGTGCGACTGCAACCGCACAGGAGAATGCTGGTACCAGCGATGAGGAAGAGGACGACAATGGCATGCTGCCCCGCGACAAGCAGCGACGAACCGCCTTCTACGACTATACTGCGGAGAAGCAGATGAGCCACACAGAAGCCAAACAGTTCTACCAGCGTCATCAGCTAGAGACACAGTATGGAGGCTCACAGGCGGGAGAGACCTACAGCCCTGCCATGCGCGCAAAGACATTCCCCGCCAACTTTGGCGGTACAGACGGTGTAGACTTCCATGGCAAGGCAGAAAGCATTCGCTCTAGGAAGAGCAATGTCACGCTCGCGAATCAAGGGCATCGGTCCAACCTGCCCATCGGGTTGTCACACACAGAGCAGTCACAGGATCCGCGCCGACACATGACTCAACACGGAGCCAACACTGCAGGTACCGGCAACGAAGGCGACGCCTTTCTCCAAGCCGATCAACAAGCTCGATCTCACGCGCAACACCCCGGTCTCCCTCACGAAGAAAAACCCCTTCTGGCTGAAGAGGGCATCCACGGTGCGGGCGCAGGCATTGGTGTTGGCACAGGAGCAGGAGGCTTCGCAATGAACGATTCCAGTATCACCACTGAGCTTAGCTCCATCTATACGAATATCCAGAAAGTGTTAGATTTACGTCACAAGTACATCCGCTTGTCTTTGCAGCGCAACTTCGATAATCCCAAAGATGATCCAGCTTGGCGCATCTACCCCACCCCTCCTGAACCAGTATGGAACGACTCTTCCAAACAGCGTCGCAACGCAGGCGGCAGCAGCTTGCAGAACAGCGGAATCATTGAGCCTAATGAACCGGCCAAGCCACCTCGCAAGATGGGAACAAATATTGGCGAGGACTTCCATCTGGAGGACTGTCTTCCCGTACCCGGTCCCGGAGAGATGTCGTTCCGCCTGGACAGCAGCGGTGTCTACCAAGTGTACGAGACCGCCAAGTCCGCTGAGCTGGACACGCCCATCGTATCAATCCCTACATTACGCGAATTTTACATCGATCTCGATTCCATCCTTGATATATCTTCTGACGGACCGAGCAAGAGCTTTGCTTTCCGTCGGCTTCAATATCTTGAGGGCAAATTCAATCTTTACTACTTGTTGAATGAATACCAAGAGACGGCCGATACCAAGAAAGTGCCGCACAGAGATTTCTACAACGTCCGAAAAGTCGACACCCACGTTCATCACTCAGCATGTATGAACCAGAAGCATTTGCTGCGCTTCATCAAGTCCAAGATGAAGAAGTCCCCGGATGAAGTGGTCCTGTTCCGTGATGGCAAACATCTCACACTGAGGGAGGTCTTCGAGTCGATTAACTTGACAGCGTACGATCTAAGTATTGATACCTTAGATATGCATGTGAGTACAGATATCTGGCACCACGATACTTGGCTAACATTTAAGGCTCACACGGATTCGTTCCACCGATTCGACAAATTCAACTTGAAATATAACCCGATCGGTGAATCACGCCTACGAACCATCTTTCTGAAGACAGACAACTTTGTCAAGGGCCGATACCTAGCAGAAATCACCAAGGAAGTCATCTCTGATCTTGAAGCGAGCAAGTACCAGTTCGTTGAATGGCGCATCTCCATCTACGGTAGAGACATTGAAGAGTGGGATAAGCTGGCAGCTTGGGTCATTGACAACAAGCTGTTCTCGCCCAACGTCCGCTGGTTGATCCAAGTACCTCGTCTGTTTGACGTATACAAAGCGACCGGTCTCATGGACAACTTCCAGCAAGTTATCGTAAACGTCTTCCAGCCATTGTTCGAGGTCACCAAAGACCCGTCCAGTCATCCCAAACTTCACGTTTTCTTGCAGAGGGTCATTGGATTCGATAGCGTCGACGATGAGAGTAAAGTCGAGCGACGCGTGTACAGGAAGTTCCCGTTCCCGAATGAATGGGCTACGAAGCAGAATCCGCCGTACAGCTACTGGATGTACTACCTTTTCGCAAACATCTCATCACTCAACGTATGGAGAAAGCAGCGCGGCTTCAACACGTTCCTCCTGCGTCCTCACTGCGGAGAGGCTGGTGACACCGATCATTTGGCTGCTGCAGTACTATGCTGTCACAGCATCAGTCACGGTCTTTTGCTCCGTAAGGTGCCTCTTCTGCAGTACATCTTCTACCTTGAACAAATTGGTGTCGCTATGTCGCCTCTCAGCAACAACGCCCTTTTCCTGGCGTACGAACGTAACCCGTTCCTGAGTTACTTTAGACGTGGTCTCAATGTCTCGCTATCGACAGACGACCCTCTACAATTTGCCTTCACGAAGGAGCCCCTTATCGAGGAATACTCAGTTGCAGCGCAGATCTACAAACTGAGTGCTGTGGATATGTGTGAGCTAGCCAAACATTCTGTCGAGCAGAGCGGGTTTGAGCATGTTGTCAAGCAGAAGTGGTTGGGTAGCAACTACCATCTCCCTGGTGTTGCAGGCAACGACATGGCGCGATCCAACGTACCTAGCATTCGCGAGGCGTTCCGACACGAGACGCTCATGGGCGAATTAGCTATGTAAGTTTCGAACAGACATACACATCTTCGTATGGCAGTACTAACACCGTACAGGATCGACCGCTACACGCGCGCTGCGCAAGCTGGTAGTCATGATCTCACCAGCTCTAACTTGCAGTCGGAAGTGCCACAGACGCCAAAGTCACTCCAAGGAACACATCCCACATCTCCCACCCATGCATCTGCTGGTGGCAACCAAGTGTTCTCTAAGCTACCTCCAGCCCAAGTCGCTCGGCTCAAGCCCTCTGCCTCGACAACCGACATGGGTAGTATGCAAGGCCAACCGGCCTCGCCTTCAGGTACAAAGGATGGTGCCAGCTCTAGCATGACTGTCAACCCTAGCACGATGTCTGTCGCTCAACCGACAGAACCTGAAGAGCCAGATCAGGGACTGACGCGCTCAACAAGCACCATTACATTGGATGGGGAGCCTAGACTGTTCCCCGGTATTGTCAGCAGCAGGAGCAGGAGACGGAGCACCAGGACTAGCCAGGCCGAGGATGGTGACATGACAAGCTCGCGTTTGAGGTTCCGCACGGGTGACCAGGAGAGTGTTGTGGAGGAAAGGGATACAGATGATGAGGATTAGACGTCACTGCGTTGTTGGATACTGTGTATAGTTAACGATGGGACAAGAATCACGAACGACACATGATTTAGTTTATGATGGAATCTTCTCTTCATTATGATGCTCGATAGAATCTCGCTCGATGCAGCTGCTAGTAACACAAGGACGCCCGCTTTGCTAGAATGAACCAAAACAACCAAACTACCTTCTCTTCTCTTCTACCGCTCATGAGTTGAGGTTCCGCGAATAACAGTCGAGACACCATGCGTCCCCCTCTTCTCCGACTTCTACTATGCACTTCTTGCATGTCGCCTTGCTGCAGCCTACACATTGCCGCGCGCAGATGAAACAGGTCCGGCCTTCGCATCTCCTGCAATCGAGGTAGTTTTCCAGATCTTTCCGTCGCTTGGGCGCTTTGTTGCACGCGTGACAGGATCGCAGGTCGGAAACGGCGTGTGATTGGGTTTGGCAGGGTGATGGCGCGTCCAAGTCGACGTCCATTAGGTGTGATGTTGACTTGACGAGTGACGCTTTCGGACTCAGGCGTTTGAGTTGCTTGACCGGCCGGCGTTCTGATGTGTACTCGTGTGGTTTTGAGGGGAAGAGAGCGTATGGTAGGTTGTTGTTGTTGCTCTCGAAAGGCGGGGTATTGTGGAGATGGAGGCGGTGGGAGTCGCGACTGGGTGATGAGCGGTGTTGGCGTGACATGCTGCGGCGTTGTTAGAATCAGAGCTCTATTTTGGATGGAGTATTGGTGCATACGGTTGCGGTCCGTCATCGCCAGCCATTCTCTTTCTCTTGCCCAGGCCGGCGGCGTGTTGATCGTGAGCCATGGTATGCCAGTAGTTGGTGGTGGTGTCGTATTGGCGGTCGTGCGGTGTATTGGGACCGAACAAGTCAGAGGTGATGTAGACCATAGTGGCGGCGACTTCGCGGTGATGGTGAGGGTGAAGCGGAGAAGCTGTTGTCGGCCTCAAAGGCGGAAGGAACTGGAACGTGCAGCGGCGGCGTCAACACAGAACAGAAAGCGGCTTGCAAAACAGGACAAAGGGTAGGTATCGAGGACGGCGGCGCTAAAGCAAAGGGACGGGACTGGGCCGAAAGGAGCGTTGCTGGATGGTCGCGATGGTGCTCAGGACGGACCGGACGGTGATGAGCGATGTTGTCGGCCCTTGGAAGGCGGCCGCGCGATGCTCGGCGACGTACCTGACTAGCCGGCCCAGGCAGCCAACAGCATGTGGGCCGGCGCACGTGAAGCGCGTCGCCAAGCAAAGGGTCGCGCGACTCAGCTAACGCGCGACGGCGCAGGACAGGGTGAAACATCGACGATAGCAGCGACGAGCATCCCGCCCGCCCACTCAGCAGCCGCCGTCTCTGGCGATTGTAGCATGTCCGCCCTTCCTGCGTGACTTGGGGTGAACGTACCATCTCCACAATATTCTTACCTACCCCACATTCTCCCACCCTGCGAAGAAGCTTGAGCCATGGATAGCGTCAATGTCTCGGAACTGGTTGCGCGCCTCGGCGCGGAGGAGGAGTCGGTGCGGAAGATGGCGGTCTTCAAGCTGCAGAATGCCATTGGCGACCCCTCCTTCGCCGACGTCTTCATATACGAAGGCGGCCTGCCCAAGCTGCGCTTCCTGGCGCTGCACTCGACCGGCAACACCCTGGCCTACTGTCTGACCTCTCTCGCACGCCTGCTGGAGTTGGACAAGGGATGGGACCATGTCACGGATGATCTGGTCGCGAGGGTAAGTCGACGAGGAGGGATTGCCTGAAGAGGTCTAACAACTATACTCCAGATCGTCGACCTCGTCGTCGCGCAACCTCTCGTCAACGTCAACCGCGGTGCCATGTCGGTCCTCGCTGCCATTGTCGGCCACCCCTCACACCGAAACTCCCAGGACGGGACCACGGGCTTCCAGCGCCTGAAGCCTGCCGTCGACTCTCAGCCCGACTTCCTACCTTCCCTCGTCGAAAAGATCACCTCGGCCGACCACGCGCTATGTGCCAATTCCCTACAGCTCATCAACGCGCTCATGCGAGACGCTATCGCAAACGACGCGGCCTTTGAATGGCCCAAGTTCATCAAGCAACTACAGGAGCTGGGTGTTATTAAGAGCGTATACGGGCTGATGCAGAGCTCTGCGATACAAGACCTGGCTCATCCGCTCCTCGACTTTCAGTCCTTGACCAAGATTTTGCTAAGGAACTGGAGGGAAGAGAAGGTGGACCTGGAGAACCCCGACCACAGGAGGGCCATCCGCGGGCTACACACAGCGAGTAATCCAGAGAAGTCAGCATCAGATCCCAAGGGAAGCAAGAAGCACAACCCGGACAAATGGAAGCGTCTAGGATTCGAGACGGAATCACCTGCGTGGGAATTCGATGCGACTGGCTTCCTAGGCCTCATGGACATTACAGATTTTGTCTACAAGAACGAAGACGGGTTTCAGAAGCTTTTGCTCGAGCAGTCGGCAGAGCCACTGGAACAGCGATGTCCAATCGCTCGTGCAAGTCTGTCGGTCACTCAAACCCTATACGAACACTTTGAAATAGATAAGCTCGATGATGTGGAATCCCACCGACCTACCGACTCGCGGGCCAACTTCGACCGCTCATTCAAGCCCCTTTTGCTTCACTGGTCCAGGTTACATACGAGTGGTCTGAGTGCCTTCATCCGACTATGGAAGGTAGCCGGCGCACAAATCGAGGACTTTGAGAAGATTGAAGAGCTTATCCGCATCTTAATCGAGCAGGTTGTGGGCCAGGCGCCACGTATGAGGGATGTCAAGGACGTGGAGGAAGACCTGGCTGAATTCGAGCTGAAACGCCTGAGAGAGCTTCAAATGGAGGTACTGGAGCTGACCTACGAGGATGCATGGGGCCATCATCTCCGGTATGCTGTTTGCGTCGATGTAGTCTGTGCTTAGCTAACTCTCTACAGTCAGGTCCGTGACGAGCTCAACCATGAGGCTCTGCAGTTTGTGAAGGAGCAGCGTATAAGATGCCTGCTACAAGGCGCGTGGTTTCCAATGGGTATCGACTACGGCACGAGTGCGGGTCCGGTAACCAGCAAGACCCTGAATCGTTCTGTGCCCTCATCATGGCGTTTTGTCAGATTGTCGCACAACCGGCGATATCTGCATTACGCTGACTTTGACGAGAAGACGGCGACTGAGCCGAGGCTAGACACGCTGCAGGAGAAGAGTAAGTGTAACGCGTCCACGCGTCGTTTATGGTTTGCGTTACCGCAGTGGCTGACCCGCATGTACAGTCGATCTATCCATTGTCTCTTCGGTGGTGAGCAATGTCTCGGCTTCGGCGCCATCGACCGCATCATCAGACAGTACCGTCACAACCCTGCCAGGCCACGAGCGGGCTTCGACGTCGACCAAGATCACGATCCACGGTTACCTGCCCCCATCCAATCACGCGCGGCAGGCGTCCAGCGGCTCAGGTGCAGGGCGAAAAGAATCCGTCCTACTGCATCTGCATCCCCAGAGCCATACCCTTGCTTCCGAGTGGCTTGATGGACTGCTGATGCTACTGAACCAACAGCCAATTACCGCCGACACCAATAAGTTGGTAACCTTCATCGGCGGTTACGGGCTCAAGATCCGTCTGCTCAACGTTCGCTACGAAGATGTCGGGCTGGAGGAACCAGTCCTCCCCAGTCGTGAAGGATTGGATGACGAATACTACTGTACGTGCTTCTCCTTTACACGTTGGCACGGGCTCGATACTGACTTGATACCCTAATGCAGATGACATTGCGGGTGCCTGAAGATCTAGAAAATGCTTGTTCACGGACAGGAGTCCTGGACAACAAACATCGATCTTGTGCAGGTAATAGTGAAATTAATGGGGCCGCCAACGTCCAAGCTGCATGATGTTGGGAAGCCTAAGCCTACGCTTCCGAAAGCCTAATCTTTCTCGATGCAGAACTAGGCAACGGCGGGGTGGAAGACGATCGCCGTCTTGTGAATAGACGTCTGTCGACGTTCAAATTGGGAATCAGGTACCGCTCTCTGGGGAACCATATTAGGAACTGTGCAGGGGGCGGTAACATTTGTGTTGGCGCGGGAGCTGGATGCGCTTCTCTTGAGATACCCTTGCTTGTACCTGTGCAATACGCTGCAATTAGACAGATTGTTTGGAGCGTGCGTGCGTGTTGTCAGCCTGTCGTCGTTACGCAGCGCATGCTCGACGTTGTACAAGGCGTCTGGTAATCGACGGTGATCTGTGCGATATTAACCCGTGACACGCTGGCGCAGGCATTGAGCCGGCCAGTCGGGCGGCCTGGTAGTAACCCCATAACGCATATTCCAGAAGCAAGTATATTTGATGCTGGGCTTAATCAGGCAAATATGATGGAGAGCATCTGTCGACTCCGCGAGCCGGGCACCTCTGCCAGCGGTGTGTCGCACGCTAAGCATCGTGGCTCCGCTGACGGTGTGTTCCTGGCGGCCACGGGCCTGAAACAGCGGACGGCAAGGTGGAGAGAAGCGGGGAGGAGGCCTGTCTGTACTACCTGACTCAACCAACGACCGCACGCGGGCCTGGCGTGCTCTCGGATACATCAGCCACGGTTCTACTAGGGCCCAGGTGTGAGGTGGAGAGCAAAGGGTGCATCGCTGGCGGCGCGTTAGCCTGCAGCTGCAGCATCCCGCGACACGAATATGCGGCCGCCCCAAGTGCGAGCGACAGTCGTACGCTGCTAAGCCCACAGATTGTTTCTATCCCCCAGCGGCCGTTCTGTTGGACCTCATATAATTCCTTCTTCTTCGGACTTTCGCTTGCTGCTGTTCGGATAGCCCTCCGGTCGATCCTCGAGAAGAAAGTACAGCAGCATTGCTCAACCAAACGTTCACGACCAAGTGCCCGCCGCACCGCCCGGCCACGGCGTCAGGGCCGCCATTCGCAGCATCGACCGCGCAAACCACGCCCCCATGTGCCTGAAGCCAAACGTTGCGCCATCGCCGACGTCGAGATCCGAGCCGAAGCCATGAAGAGCAAAG